GTCTCTGCAGGGCTTTTTGAGGTCATCCTTATCGCTGCTAGGCAAACCTGCCGTCATTTGGACAATTTATGTTCTATCCATACGTAGGTTGTCTTATCTTGTTGTCTCTTCCAAGCGCTTAGGCAAATTAAGGTCTACGCCGACTGCTGGCGCTTTTTCAGGACATCCAGCGGTAGATCAAGCTAACAGTTCCTTATGGCAACGTCCGGCCACCCAAGCGAAACAGCAACTTTGTTGTCCATCGCCGTAGCACTAGAAATAGTGATATTGATGTTATTGCAATAGTTCTTATGCGTGAAGGGACCGTTAAGTCTGTGTAGCCAGCTCCGCCACTATACCCACTCGCCCTTAGAATATGGTAGATGTGAAGTGAGAAGTAGGAGTGACGTTGTGCGGTGTCAGTCCCCATCGACAGGTTAGTTGCTTAAAAGTCTCGGTACGTTTTATTGCGTACATCGAAATGTTCTTGGTTTATTTTCATTACCGTCTGGCCGTCTTTCTTTGATATGTAAATACAGTTCTTTCTTCTGCATTCTGCATGTTCCGAACACTGGTATTCTTAAACTCTACTGCCTAACCCTATGTGGTCCAACCTGTCAGTCGGACCGGCTGCTTAAATGTGACTGCTTTCTCAACCTAAACTGCAGGGTAGAAGACAGTTAGTTCGGTCACAATGCGAGCAGAAAGCCCACATCCCGAACACTCCATACCCCACACGACGGAAGTCTACACACACACGCATTTCGACTATGCAGTCCCTCGCGAACACACAGAGCATGGTAGATTTTGTCGGCCAGATCCTGCAATAAACAGCATTGATTTGTCCTCCTTCAAGTCGCATTGCAGAAGCTACCCTCTGCCTCAGATCCATGCACAATGCCACTACGTACACAGTCTTCATGTGCCGGCTCGTGTTAGTCGATCGCCGCAAGTTGGAGCACGTACGTGCAGGGTTTTGTGTGCCTGCCGCCCGCTATAAACCCAGTTACGGTGACACTAAACATGTCCTAACTGGCCAGCCAGC